CTACTTGGTGGCTCAGTGGTATGTCTAATATTGCTAAAAACCGGGTTTCGATATCCGCAGTGTACAGAGCACTCATTATGTAGTTTTGTGTTTAACAACAAACAAACTCAAAAGTGAATTTTAAGTGAAAATTGTATATTTTTTGTTTTTATTATGTAAGTGTTGCATTCACCATTCTGTGTTTAAATTCTAAATTTAAAACTTGAAATAAACTCATTCGTTTTGTGCATAATAATCTCATATATATTGCGAACCATTATGTCTGTACGTTTGAAAAGCTAAACACGCAGGTAAAGCTCAACATTCACTTTTGAAATGACGAAAGAACAGGCATTAATAATGTTGATGCCAAATTTTATTTCACAAGCAAGATATTTTACATTAAATTATTAGGACTTAATCACACTATCATTCACACTTCAAAATGTGATGTAACTTAAAAAATAAAATTGTAGAGATGCAAGTAATAGGATGAGAAAGGTTTGAAATTGCGTTTTGAAATTATTTTGTTCTAGGAGATAATGATTTTTAAGGCTACTGTATGGAATAGAATCAGTCTGGGGTGTTTCATTCAGTTGTTAAATATTTATATAGAAATAGAAGGAGTTGATAACTATATAAATTATTCGTTGATTAGAAGAATGTGTAAAACGATGTACATAACAGAGGACACTGAGAGAAACATTTGAAAAGTGTGATGTTTTATTCACTGAAAAAATACATATGGAACATATTCTTACTAAAAATGGAATTAACTCGAATGAAAGAAAACTGGGACGGTACTCTATTTACAACATACTGTACAATAGAAATGACATATTTCTCGGTATAATTACTTATTTATGGAAACGCATACCCAATATTTGTATAAAAACAATTTATTTGAAGGATTTCCCGAAAAAAAACGCCGTGCTGGAACTGTAGTTCACCAGAAGCATTTGAACTGCTTAAGAAGTTGACGGCAAGACCACTAGTATTAACGCCCTCTGATATTGCTCTTAGAAACAACAGCAATTTCAAAAAGTAATGTTAAGCACTTCAAGATGTAGAAGTAACACTCCTTATAAAAATGTAAATGAATCGAATAGACTTTGAAAGCCAAAAATATATATATGGAAAATATTTTCCCCTCCCATCTCTTTTTTATATACACATTGTTAGAGCTTATGTATTTGAGACAGCAAAGAAGATCAAGGTTTGTTTGTTTTTAATTATGCACAAAGCTACACAAGGGCT